TAGACCTTCAACCTTCTTCAGAGATCATTACTGATCCAGATTCCTGAGTCCTCTGGTACAGGTCTTGGGAATCAAGGAGCTACGGCTGGATCACTTCCAGCAGTAATTCCAGAATTTTAACTTGTTATCAAGTTCCGACGGATCACCCAGACAACACTGGAGGCGCTCTTGGAGCCTGATGAGGACAGCGTGAGAACAAGGCAAGGCAGAGAAATTCAGCTGGCTGGGACCATCTTTGGAGCTACAGGAAGGACGATTGATTTAACAGCCCTACAAAGGGCTATATTACATAAAAAAATGTTTTACAGCATTTTATTGTAATTACACGCAACGCAACAAAATTCAGTCTCTGCATTTAACCCATCCACTTGTGGTGCCCGGGGATCATTGTTAAGGGTCTTCAAGGGTCTTTGTTCAGAGACCCAGAGTGGCAGTCTGTAGGAATGGGGCTTGAGAACCTCATGATTCCAAGCTTTATGCCCTAAATGCTAAGCCGCCACTTCCAAATGCTGGTATTAGCATGAAGGGTCTTGCCGCCAGCTTGTTTAACCTGTTTCCATTAACTACCCGTCCACTTGGTGCTTCCAAGTTTGCAGCCTCATTCTGCCACAAAAAGGCTACTATCCACCGTTACAAGGTTTAATTTGGCAGACTGGATCCTCCCAATGGTTAAAGAACAGTAGCTAAACTTAATTTATGCTTTTTGAACAGGATAAAATCCATCAAGGAATCTCTTAAGAACGTAATTCATAATTATTTCAAGGGTTATATTTCTATCTTCCATTTGAAATAGAACAAATTTTGTCTCCACTGCCCTCCTTCACCCTACACCACATCATCCAGACCCTGATTGGTTGGCACAATGTGACATGAGAAAACTTTTTGAACTCTAGTGAACTTTGCTTTGCTCCATCTCTGGTTTCCTTTACTCTATTTACCCTAATCCTGTTGTTTGCATCATTAATAGCCCCAGTCGGCCTCAGCAGATGGCCGCTCACACTGAGCCTGGTTCTGCTAGAGGTTTCTTCCTGTTCAAAGGGAGTTTTTCCTCTCCACTGTTGCTACAAGCATGCTTAGCGTGAGGGATTGCTGAAGAGTCAATGAGTCGATGCAATCAGCTGGTTTTCCTTAGATGGAAAACTTTGAATTAATCTGACTGGATGATCTGGTTGAACTGGAAAGTGCCTTGAGATGACATGTTGTGAATTGGTGCTATAGAAATAAACTGAATAGAATTGAATTAAAAGCAAGTCCTTTGCATGGATTCCCTCCTGAATGAGCCTCTCCATAAGTATAACTTGTAATTATTTGCGTTTGGTGTGCATGCACCATAACGCTGCATAAACTGCACCCAGAGAGTTTGCTGTAAGTTTACTTCTTCTGACTGAAAAGGTCTGATGTATGTTTTCAACATGTTGACCGTATGCTCCTGTTAGCTCCTGTCTCTGCTACCTGGGCCTCTGGTCTGAAAAGCTGCTTGGAAAGGTGTAACCTGGCACATGGGCAGCTTTAAGGAAGGCCCACCTCCTCTGTTTCATCTTTCTGCTAACATTAGGGATGCATTATGTGTGAAGAAAGAAGATTTACACACTCAGACATTCTTCTCTCCTCACGATTAACTTTGCCATGCCGACAAAAATAAACATTCCTTTCGCTCTTTCTATGTCCTGCCTTTAGTCTGAGGCTAAAAATGGTTTTAATTTTTACCTTTTGTTAGAGATCTAACAAAGTTTGGAAGAATATCCTCTAAAAGTGTATTATACAACCCTGTGGATTAAAACATCATGTTCATCTCAGAGAAATAATTTTCTTATTGCTGACTTCTTTAAAATAATTTTGTTTTTTTACTACTCTGGTATATTTAACCTCTATAACAGCCATGTGCTGAAAATCTGCTAGGCTGATTAGAATTACATTGGAAAATTCACACATAAACTTCTTACTCAATAATAAAAATGTATTTAAATTGATTAATTTGAAATTCAGCGTTATTTTAAATAACACAATTACTTAAGATTGAATATAATTACTTTGTATAAATAAAAATGGTATTAGAGTGAAGTAATTGTTCTGTTTGTAGGAGTTCCCTAGTTTGTTGCATACTCACTGGAAAAAAAAATCGAAATATCAAAGTAATTTTTTTCTTAAAATAAGTGCTTATTCTTGGATTGAGGAGGTAAAGGAGACATTTTGCCAATGGAACAAGACAATTTACATTTAAAATAAAAAAACACAATTGCATTGTCTTAGTTAAAGTGCATTTTATCCAATTATCTTATTAAAAAAAATACTCATTCCATTGCCAAACTATCTCGTTTACCTACTGAAATTAAGAGTAAATACATTTAATTTAAGACATTTTACTTTTTTTAGATATTTTTCCAGTGCTGGTGTTCAGGGAAGTGATGGCCTAGTAGGTTAGAGCAGTGCACTCTGTACTCTGAGAGGGTTGCAAGTACCTGGTTTGATCCCCACAGCCTGCACTCTGGGTCCCTGAGCAAGACCCTTAACCCCAAATTGCTCTCTGGCTGCCACACAATGGCAGCCTGCTTCTCCCCAAGGGGATGGGTTAAATGCAGAGGTAAATTTCTCCAATGTGAGGTTAATAAAGTTAAATTATTCATTTAAATGTTATAATTTTGATTTAAGGGGTCAGAGGATTAAATCTTTGTGAAAAAAAATCTATGTGAAAAAACTATCAATAAAAATATTTAGGGCTGGGTATTTTCGCCAAAGTCCTGAATCGATTCTATTTCGATTCAATCTGTTTATACAATAATGAAAGTGGCTCAACTGTGTTTCAAAACACTCATGTATTTTATTTCCTGTCATATTAAACACAAAGTGCAAACTTGTAAATCGGACAGTTTAAACTAGAGATGTGAACTAAACTGTCTCAAAAGTGCAAACTTGTTTGTGAAAAGTGAAAAAGTAAAGCCTCACTCCAGCAAGCAGACGTGACACAGCAGTCATGAATGAGCTGCATTATCTTCACTGCACAAACCATATTAGCAGCGTTGTCTGTAGCAACCACCGGGTGTTTGCTGCTCAGCCTCCAGTTGTTAATGTATTCAGTCAACCTATTGTCTATATTTGCAGCTGTCCGGCTTGAAGTCATCCTGAGTGCATCTTTCCTGCTCACTTGAATGTGAACGTCACGCACGTCACTATAAAACTAATCAATCTTATTCCCTAAATGTAAAAAAATCTATTCAAAATCATTTAAATAGATTTTTTTACCCAGGCCTAAAAATGATCAATAACCATAAAAAGTGTAATCATAGTTTGATATAACTCACTNGATTTTTTTACCCAGGCCTAAAAATGATCAATAACCATAAAAAGTGTAATCATAGTTTGATATAACTCACTAAGGTACTGAGTGTTTGGTTCACAGTTATGGAGCCAATATCAAACACAAGGGAGGAATTCTAGAGACAAAGCTACGGCTAATTAGCCTAGGCAGTAAGATGCACATTGTTTTCCCAAGAAAAATGAAGCAACTGTAGTTCAGCTACTGGCCTGCAGGTGCATAGATGAATGCATTGCTACTCACCGAGGGTCCTAAAGGGCCTCTGCTGGGGGACCAAGGAGAAAAACCCAGGCTTCAAGGCGTTGGTAATGATGACGTCAAACAGCTCCTCAAAATCCTTCCTGAAACATCCAGACAGGAATAAACGGGAAAAGTTATGGAGCAGAGCAGGTTTCTAGCTGTGAATCAGGAATTTAGATTTATTTCTGCATGGGAACTTTGCTTAAATAAAGAGCTATTTGGGATGACCAGTAAAACGGGAGATGTTACTTTTACAGACATTTATTAGACATAAACCTTCATATGAAGGGTTATGAGCTTAAGTTTCAGTTTTATTTCATATAAAAATATATGCCACCCTATCAAATATCTAACATCTGAGACAAATAGTTAGGCGTGTAGAAAAAAATTAGTTTTGGCAGTATGTCGCGATTTTTGGCTGCCTGATATAATATCGATCTTTTAGTTCCTAGTATCGATTTTTAAAAGCAAAAGATTTTTGCCTAAAACAGGGCTACCTTTGTACGGCGAGGCTGGCAGATGGCGCTGTGGAGCCCTTTTGCTGCGCGGCGCTATAACTATAGCTGAGGCAGTCATAGTGGAAGACGTGGACTGACTCAAACCCCAAGCAACATGGATACCAAAATATAAAAAGATCAATATAATGCGATGAACATATATAGTGGAATCTTCAAATGGTAGGATCTCAAAAGTCAAGACACCTTCAGTCGATTATCTGATTGCTCACCGGACAGGGGAAGAGCTTTTATTACAGAATCAAATTCACATGCCGTCCTCAGTACAATGTTTCACAGAGCTTTACATCATCAGTCATCTCAGCTTTTCCCAACCCTCATTCCGTTTTAGGCTGCTTTTATAGTTTCAATATTGCACTGTGTGGATGCACGTGCACGACTGGACGCTCTGGAGAACTTCCTGGAAGTATCTTGGCCTGTGATCCGATTGCGTGAGAGTCAACCATTAACAACCCTGTTTTTGCCAAGATTTGTACGTGACTTCCAGCCTGTAGACACCCTGTCTACATCCTGCATACTCCGCGTTACCGAGCGAGCATAAGGTCACGAATAAGACATAAGGCAACACAATTTCCTTCTATATTCCCTCCTGTAGTTCATCGAAAATGAAATACTAATGAGATGTTACATGGTGATGTCAATACTACGCAAATAAGTGCACTTACGTGTATGTGAAGTTTAAATGAAAACGAAAGTGTTACCGACGCAGCCCAGCATGGATGCAAGTTGGTAAAAATCAACCTTAAATTGAAACCGTTAATTAGCCATTTCTGAGACGTTGCCTTTTTATCTAAACATTACATTTTGATAGCAGGGAAAATATCACAAAATATATGTTGATATCGCAATATAGTGATAATATCGCATCGCGACCCAAGTATCGTGACATGTATCGTATTGCAACACCCACAACAATACTCACGCGTACAAGCAGTGCAGTAGATGTAAAGATGACCTCATCCAGAGCTTTGTACACATCACACATGGCAGAAATGGACAATATGAATGTGGATCATCTAGCATCTTTTAAATGGGCTCATTCATTAACAAATCTGATTAAATAATTCCTAAACCTTGGAGTCAACTGGCCTATATCATATCAGGCTTTCCCAGCGTGGAAACAGTTAACTGTAACTACAACACCTTGTTCTAGAAAAATAAAAGTCTATACTCAAACATCTAGAGAGATCATTAAAGGTCTTGAATCAAATTGTTTAAAATGTTCCAAAGTCAAGTATAAGAAGGTAGACAATGAGGTATTTCCATTTCCACTACAAAACAATCCTGTATTATGAAATGTTTCTAACCTGGAAAAAAGATGCTCGCCTTTACTGAAACGCAGCATTTCACCGTTTGAGTGCTGCCCATTTCACTAAATCTTCCTAGAGATGCTGCAGCATGAAATCATGCAGTGATAAGACTCCTTTTAAGCAAAGCTTAACAAAGTCAAAGATCTCTGCCAGCTAAAGGAATATTTTTGTGTGTTTGACATAAGCTTAAAGAGCGACAGTCGCTGTCACTGTACAGATTAGCTGCTGAAAGAGCCACTTTAACTCAACTTTAAGCAGAAATGATCGCACTCACAAAACGCAAAAAAACAGCCATTGGAGAAAGTGGGTGTGTGTTTAATGGGCAGGCATGGCATGGTCTAAGTAGCTAGCATGGAAACCTGTCAGACATGTAAGGATGATTGATGATGATTTATGACTTATTAATTTTTTTTAGGTTTTTTACGGCACTAGTGGCTCATTTTTTAAATTTTTTTATAAAGTGGGATGAAATGAGAGTGAGTATGAGAGAGAAATGCAGCAAAGGACCACAGGTCGGACCATTTCGCCACCGAAGCACGCCCGTGATTCATGATATTAATGGAGAAATAGCTTTTTAACAGGTAAAAGCTCAAAAAAGTCAATTTTACATGATAGAGGTCCCTTAAGGCTTGAACTTATACTGTAAGACTGAATGATGACTGGAAACTACAGCTGATTCAGTTTATGCTGAGTTTTTTAAACAACACTGACGGACGTCTCAGATGTGTTTCTGTGGCAAACCAATCTGCCATTCCTGTGAAAAATGCTTTTCACATTTTTATAAGGTTGTATTGTCTGTATAATTTTGAGAAAAGAGCTTAAACTGATAAGAGGATTAATTAAGTAATCGATTAATAGTTAACTGGAGTATAGAGACTCACGCCTTAAACTGACCCCTTTAGAGCAGGAATTATACCAAGATTATAAAAAAATATGTAAACATTTTGCATTTAAGATTAAAAAAAAAACTTTTTCATCTGTCGATATGCTCTATCCAGAGCTCCTCAGGTGGAAAGGTTTTAGTTTCACCTGATTTAAGTTTGTAAAAAGTCTTTAAGGAATCTTTGGCTATCCAATTATTAATTGAAAAAATAATCAACAGATTAATCGACGATCAAAATAATCTTTAGTTGCAGCCTTAATCTGATACTGTTTGGATTAAGGTTGTAACATAACTACATTTTTGCAGATCTGTGAATACCTTACATATGCTTAGTTAAATAAACTCAGTTTATAACCCATGGGTTTAATGGTGTGTCCAACCTTTGCGGCTGTAACAGCGTCCACTCTTCCAGGAAAGGTTTCTAGAAAGATCAGCAGAGTTTTTAATGAGACCATTCTACCTGAGGTCACACACTCATGTTGGTCTGCCTCCACTTTTTTAAAGAACTTAGACAATAATTTAGGCACTATAGCTTATGCAAACCCTTAAGTTTAAATATTCAATTTAATCTTTAGGGGCATAAGGTAACTCATTCAACCATTTGTTAACAAGTGAATGCTCCTCTACAGTGGAACCAACTACATTCAATAGTTCCCCATTTTTCATTAATAGTCCCTATAATTCCTTTTTTAACATCAATATTTCTAATAAAATATTCTGTCATGATTTGTGGAAATTTAAATCTAAATAGAAACGCCTTCTCCTGGTCAAACCCTGTAATTCAGTCAAAGGGTGGAGTCAGAGAAGGAGGTGGTCACTGCAGTGGCTATAAGTTGGCTTCCATTCGGCATTTGTTTGACTGGGAAGGGCCATTTTGAATGGCTGCTACTGTATCAGTTTCAGTCTGTGAGGCAGACACCCTGTCTACTTTTAAGGCTACAGACATAAAACGTTCCTTTTTGATAAAGCTTATAGTTCGAATGGCTCAGGTTATCCTGAGCTATCTCTATAGTTATGCTGCTATAGGCTTAAACTGCTGGAGGACATAAGGACAACATATCTTAAATCTGGTTCAGTCTTCTTGTTTTTCCCAATTGTGCAATATTTGTTTGATCAACTTTTAACTTTATGCTTTTTCTCGCTATTGTTTATTCATCTGGTCTGGTTTTATTTAGCTGTGACCCCATCCTGGAAGGAGGCAGCGGCTGGGCAGCAGCAGTCGACAAATTCCGTTATAGATGATAGAGTTGGGCTGTTTTTCACTGTTTAGTCCTGTTTCTCTCGTAGACAAAGCTACAGGCTCAGTGTGTACTGACTTTATGGGATTTCTTTCATCCTTTTTTGAGTTGAAAACTAGGTCAGATGTCATCTGTTAAACTTTTTCTTTCCTAGAGAGAGTCACCTGTGGAGCTAGTTTAATTTAACTGTTTTTAACAAAGTGTTCATAGATCATTGCTTCTAGAGTCTGCTACTGTATCACTGAATAAACAAAATTGAATTAAACCAGTGATCAGGCTGGGCTGTTAAGGTTTGAGTGAAGGGTTAACATTATATATCGGCTTTAAGGTAAATAAACTTTCAGCTCCACTTCTTAGTAACTTTTTACTTTAATCTTTAACGTTTTTTGCAAATTCCGAACTTCGATCCCTCAGATAGACACTTGGATCATTTCTTTGTACCATAAAGTATTATTCCTACAATTACCCTTGTATGAAAGGTATTATGATACGTTGAATATTTCAAAGGTATTTCAAAATACCAGAAAGCTGGAATTCTGTAACTTCACAGAAGTCTAGTGGGGATTTAAGTCAAAACACACTGAGCCCAATTTGATACAGCTGAGCAAAAGAACCCCTTGGCTCTGGAATAAAGACTTCCATCATCCCTTCAGAGAGAAAAGAAGCATGTGCTCCAAAATAAACCAGCCGAGTACAAAGAGCAGCTTCTTTAGGCACGCTGTCCTGTTGCAGAGTTGCTCTGGCCGGTGTGTGTTATTTCTAAAGCAGCTCTGAGCAGAGGATAGGACCTTCTTGCACACTCAAAAAGTTTCTTGACAGCAACTAGAAGAACACTTGACTTAGAAATAAGAGTATATTGCTTTATCAAAGCTAATGTGGTATTAAGATTAACCCTGAGAAAAACAGGAAGTGCCTTTCAGCAAAGGAAACCAATCTAAACGTCACAAACCTCTTAACTAACCAAACCTAGGAAGATAAAGCTGGTATAGTTTCCTGTAGAGCCTTCACTATAGATCTATATCTATACAGAGCATGAAAGCACACACATTCAAGTTTAGATGAGGATCTTATATTGACTGCCATTCATTTTCAGATTTCTCTAAACCTAACCCTACTCCTAATTCCTACCTTAGTCCTTAATTAGCAATGAAATGTTGCACTGCTGCCCTGCAGAAAAAGGTTCCTGGGTTCAAATCTCAGCTGAAGGTTTCTTGTTGTCTGTTCTTTTCATGCATGCATAGGTTTCTCTCTAGGTACTCCAGTTCTCTCCCACAGTTCAAAAACATGTGTTTTTGTGTTTATGCAGGGGGGTGGAGGAAGTATCCACAGTTTAGACAGCTTTACCTTTTTTCCTGATCACTTCAGATCGACTTCTACGAGGACATTAAAAACCGACGCATAAAACTCTGGATTAAAGCTAAAGAGCCCTATCCACAGCAATATAGCTGTTTGTTTATACTGGCTGTGGACATCAGACAGAGGTTTATATCATTATGTTTCTGAGGCAGTGTAAAACAATGTTTTCTTTAGCAAAATAAAACGTATGTAGTGCAGACTAACAGCCACTCATCCTGAACCCAACAAAGGCTTTGGAAACAAACGTTCATCTAATACGTTTGGTTCTGTTTCAGTAACTAATTTCACTCAGCATGTATCTACTTTTAAAGTGATACAACTAAACATTTTATTTGTAAAACATAATAATAAAATACTATTTAGTAAAAAAAAATAAACACACCTTATCACTATGTCTACTTCCTATGGCAGCTGTGTTAGATCCGGAGCATAGAGTTGGTGAGAAACCTCCAACTTTACAGGGTTTAATCCTAACCTCTGGAGGAGCTCTATGATATTTACATCTTTAAGAATTAAAATCAATCATTTCCTGTCTGATTGAAGCCAATATTGTGTATTTCTACTACATTTATCCAGTATGTACCTTCCATCCTCAAAGGAGTATTTTGCTTCCATCTAGTGGACACAATATGCATTACACATGTTTCATGATTTACGCTCACACATGAAATAAAAAGCATAGGAAATGTTCAGTATATGAAGATAGTGCCAAGGAAAACAAAACAAACAAAAAAACCACCTAAATATACCAACCCATGCATAAAGAACCAGCTATGGCACCTGTGGCAGGAGAACAACTCCTGCAGACTGAACATTACCAGAAGGATAAATGGGAAAGAAACATAATAAAGATGCTTAGTGGCTAAAGGACCTAAAATCTGACCATGCTAATCTTCCTGAGCAAAGTCCAGAAAACATCACAATGGCAGACCTCCAACAAAGACTCTAAGGTATGAGAAAGTGGACAGCTCCAGGCTCAGACATGATTCATACCTACTGGATGAAGAAGCTGACTTCTCTCCCTGAACGCCTAGCGGCACAAGTGAACCAGGCTTGCACTAGGGCTCATAGAACAGCAAATATGCCATTTTCAGCCCAATGTTACACACCCTATTCACTTTAAGGGAAAATGAGGCTTGGTAAAGTGTTGTTCTACAGATAGAGAAATGTTAATAGAATAGACATCCAT